TTTTTTGACGATTATATTAATTTTTCCATTTAAAGTTATCCTCATTTTTTTTTTTAGATTCTGTTATCTCTAACTCCTGTTACAAGAATCAAAGGGTATGGAAAGAAAGAAAAAAGTCTGCCAAGTTACCAAACAGCAAATGCATCTATATTAAAACACAACCTAAAATAAAATTCCCTATAACTGCATAAATATTACTTCCTTTAAAATGCTCTATGAGCCATCTAAACAATGACTCCCTCCCCCATCCTCTTCCAGTGTTACAAACTTAGCACAGGGTTGGAACCTATTTTAGTATGTCACCCAGTGGTAAAAGAGAATCAGTCACTCTAAGCTAGGGGTTCTCAAACTGGGGGTTGGTACCCCTCCGGGGACGGGGGGTTTGCCGGGTTATTACGTGGGGGGTTGCAAGCTGCCAGCGTCCACCCCAAACCCTGCTTCGCCTTCAGCATTTGTAATGGTGTTAAATATATTAAAAAGTGTTTTTAATTTATAAGGGAGTTTGCACTCAGAGACTTGCTATGTGAAAAGGGTCACCAGTACAAAAGTTTGAGACCCTCTGCTCTAAGCTGCTCCTATTGGCTCCACTTAGTTGCGGGTGAATCACTCACAGCTTTATCATATTTCTACTCTGTATAAAGTCCACCAGCTAGGCTGGATTGTGAAGCAAAGTTTGTTGTTTGTTTGCCTTTTAAATTCTGAACCACCTGACACTGGCAAGGGAGTTTGAAAGCTGCATGAATCTGCTTGAAATCAGGACCTGGGGGGAATACATTTTTATTCGCTGTAAGAATGTTTAGTTTTTCTTTCACGTAGGTTAAATAAATTAAAATAAAATAAATAAGGCTTTTCAAAGGGGGCTAAGGGTGTTAGCTGCCTAGCTCCTATTGAATTTCAATTGGAATTAGATGCCTAACTTGCTTTGACAATCCCAGCCTAAGTGTTCTCCTCTGTTTCTATGTGCAGAGGAAAGCAAAAGAGGACTCCATTTTTCTGAATCCCAGAACAGCCCCTCCAGAGGTAACCTGAGGAGATCAGGATCCATGGATGGGGCATGGGCGGGCAGGTTTCAGGGGCCAGAGCCCTTTCTGTTCTAGGATCGTCTGAGAGAGCAAGACTTACCCTTGCCACTGCAGTCCGGGGAACACTCCATGATGCCAAACTCTGATTCCTGTCCCCTAAGCAAATAGAAGCAGCGGCAGAAGAGAGAGAGAGAACACTGAGACTGAGTTGGCCCTTTGCCTCCTTATTGGCTTTTGTCTCATTTGTGTGCGTCAAGGACATTCTTTGATATGGGGCCTTTTTTTCTCTCTTGTTTAATGAAGTTTGAATGATGAATAGTAAGGCAAGTAAATATGGTGCAGTGCTGGTCACTGGTTCACAGGCTTGTGGATTGTTATAATCCAACTACTGCCTTCCTGTAATACAAACTCTGAGATAGAAAAGCCATCAGCCTTTATAGTCTAGTGGGTGAGCTGTCAGATCAATACATATAATCAGAATAATATAGCCAAGCTAATGAGGTATTTAACTAACATTTCAAGTGGCTATAGGAGTGTCATAAAGGGAGGGGTAAACCCCTTTAAAATCCCTCCTGGCCAGAGGAAAAATCCTCTCACCTGTAAAGGGTTAAGAAGCTAAACGTAACCTCACTGGCACCTGACCAAAATGACCAATGAGGAGACAAGATACTTTCAAAAGCTGGGCGGAGGGAGAAAAACAAAGGGTCTGTGTCTGTCTGGGTGATGCTTTTGCCAGGGACAGAACAGGAATGGAGTCTTAGAACTTAATAAGTAATCTAGCTAGGTATGTGTTAGATTATGATTTCTTTAAATGGCTGAGAAAATAGCTGTGCTGAATAAAATGAATATTTCTGTCTGTGTGTTGTTTTTGTAACTTAAGGTTTTGCCTAGAGGGATTCTCTATGTTTTGAATCTAATTACCCTGTAAGGTAGTCACTATCCTGATTTTACAGAGGTGATTCTTTTTTACTTCTATTAAAAGCCTTCTTGTAAGAAAACTGAATGCTTTTTCATTGTTCTAAGATCCAAGGGTTTGGGTCTGTGGTCACCTATGCACATTGGTGAGGATTTTTACCAAACCTTCCCCAGGAAGTGGGGTGCAAGGGTTGGGAGGATTTTGGGGGGAAAGATGTTTCCAAACTATGTTTTTTCAGGAACCCAGATAAAGTTTGGTGGTGGCAGTGGAAGTCCAAGGGTAAAATAGTTTGTACCTTGGGGAAGCTTTAACTTAAGCTGGTAAAAGTGAGCTTAGGAGGTTTTCATGCAGGTCCCCACATCTGTACCCTAGAGTTCAGAGTGGGGAAGGAACCTTCACAAGGAGTAATATTAATTTCAATCCAAACTCAGCGCAAACATCCTTAAAAACTATTCTTGTTTTATCATCATTTAATGATGTAATAATAATACAATACATAGTTTTATGTCTATGTTCCATTATGAATACATGGAAAGCATTGGCCAAGTGCTGAATCCTGCCTGTTTGAAGAGAAGGCTATGCACAACTCTGAAAAACTGGGATGACTGGTAAGCTTGAGCATTGTCAGGGCTGCAGATGTTGTCCCCCTCACCTGGATGTTTTAGTGCAGGGGTGGCCAACCTGTGGCTCTGGAGCCACACGCGGCTCTTCAGAGGTTAATATGCAGCTCCTTGTACAGGCACCGGCTCCGGGCCTGGAGCTACAGGTGCCAACTTTCCAAGGTGCTGGGGGGTGCTCACTGCTCAACCCCTGGCTCTGCCACAGGCCCTGCCCCCATTCTACGCCTTCCCACCCCCTCCCTTGAGCCTGCCGTGCCCTCACTCCTCCCCCCCTCCAAAACCCTCCTTCGTGCCATGAAACAGCTGATTGGCGGGGCTGCCAGTGGACAGGAGGTGCTGGGAGCTGGGGAGGGGGAAGCTAATGTGGGGGGGGCTGCTGATGTATTACTGTGGCTCTTTAGCAATGTACATTGGTAAATTCTGGCTCCTTCTCAGGCTCAAGCTGGCCACCCATTTTAGTGTTTCAGCTGCTGCAGATATGGATGTAAATGGGCTCCTTCCCTGTGCTCTGTTGCCCATTCCAATTCAATATCATTAGTGATCTCTCTGTCATATACTCTTAGGAATCTCCCCCAGTCATTCTGCACACACACCTTCTTGATTCACTTGGTCCCCAACTTGAGTCACTTCAACAAATGGAAATACCGTGATCTCAAGCCCAAGTAGGTTTCTGTGAGAAGACCAGGATTCTGCTGGGTAAGTTGCAATTTATTACAATTCACAATATGGCTTGTGAAACTCCTGTATCTCCTATGTGGGACCCTTAAGCAAATGTTATTTTTCAGTGTTGTTACCAGAAAGTTAGATTCCAAAGAAAGCTGGAAGAGTTGCAGAATATGAGCAACACGAGGCAGGGACCAGGGTCAGATAGTGATCTCACTTACAGCCATCTATTTGTCAGTAACCGAATGGGTTACGCCACGTTAGGCTGGAGTGAGCTCAGAACCTGACCATGGATCCTTTATTGTTTCTGTAAGGCTCCATGCACACTCTTGGTGTATGCATACAATCCAAATGACAAAATAACAATAATAGATAATATTGTCAGCAGGGCAGTGGAGTGAAAGGCCTGCTGAGGATGGGCCGTGCCATGCCTTACAGTTTGGGGTGAAATACTTCATATCCCAAGCCACAAAATGCTGCAGCCTCCTCTTACATACTGTATGGTTTCCAGATCTCTCACACATTGTATTGAAAGGTAGGCCGCTCTACACTGTACCAGTTTTACTGGCATAGGTGTACCAGTTCCGGGGCGTGATTTTTTCCCTCCGGTTAACTGACACAGCTATGCTGGCAAAAGCCTTAGGGCAGACAACAGTTATACTGGCAAAATAGTGCTTTTGCTGTACATCTTACTCTGGTTTAAGCAGTCTTTTAGTGATACAGGCCCACTCTCCCATAGATTGGTTGGCCAGGATAACTATCCTGGTATATCTATACCAGCAGACCCTTTCAAATGTAGACAAGGCATTCATGAAAATGAAGAGTGCTTTAAACCTCCATTCGTAACTCTACGTTATACTTGGCTTGTTTCATAAGTGAAGAATGTTATTCCTATTCTGGCACAAACAGAATAAACTGTGGTTGCCATGGGACTGTCCAAAGCCACATAGCCTCAACGGCTGGATTTTGCAGAAGGTGGTCGGATTTAGCTGAAAAGGTATAAATTCACTGACAGAATGACTTTTCTCTGTTGCCTACACAGCTGAAGCGATTCATGTGCTTGGTTTATTCCAGCATCGGTTTGGAATAATTTATAGTTGGAAATTTATTCCTGAGCCACCCATCTGAGATGCCAGAATATAAATAATAGAGCAATAAAAAACCAACCAAAACCAACCAAAACTTTTGACCAAATTTTGCTCTTTTTCAGGCTCTTTCAGCAGAGAGGCAAAAATGAGATGTAATTTCTGAAGTGCAGATATTTTGTGGCTTCTAGGATCCTGTGAAGCTACAGTTTAGTGTTTAAGTTGCTGTTAGTCTTTCAAATGCACAGATCATTACAGCTTTTGGTGATTTACTCTGTGCATAGTAGAGGGTAGGACTGGGCCCTTTGCATGAACACATACCCCTATTGTGCAGTTTATGTAGTGACAAGACCAGACTTCCTTTTGTGCCATTATATAGTATAAAGATATGGATCCCAGATGGCTGAATACAGAGGATCTTCACCTCCTGCAAACGTTAGCTTTTATTTTGTATCCTTGTTATATCAACTTACATTTCTTTCACGTTAGTAACTTGTTCCAGGTTTTCTTTTAACACTGTTTTGGATCTCTATCACCCAATATATATAATGGGCACTAAAGATGAAATACATACACAGGCATAACAACAGAGTACTAAAAATATGTTAAAAGTACCACACTGATTAAATCAAAGCCATTGTTTTCAGTATTTTGTGGCTATAATAAAGAATGCATCTTTAATTGTCAGTACACCTGGTGTACATTCATTGCAAAGAACAACTCTTTATTGGAATATAGTAGAGCAAAAAATGCCCCTTTATTAATTTGATGTACATTAAATATCTTTGCATTTGTTACATGTATGATAGGTATTTGGCAGATAAATTTATACACACTTCCACATTTTATAGATTTATACTGTACATCGTCATCCTACACAGAGCATGCCCTTTCACAGTTATACAGACAGCTTTTCTCAGGGGACTTTATACACTTGGTCAAGCATTTTGGCAATCTGACACAGAGGAGCATGCCAGAAAGATGAGTTCACAATTGTACCAGCTGTACTTGGAATGAAAAATCCAGAAACCTGAAAGTGAGAATTTATCAATGCACACACATGCAAGCACATATATACAGTAGTGATAACTGTAACCCACATTACAGGAGATCATACAGAGCAGTAAAAAACCAAAAAGGTCAGGGCCATTGCCAAGATCTCAGTACAAAATTGTGGATCTGAAAATGAATGTGTGGAATGGAAATTTAACTTAAAAATCTTTGTACTTTATATACAATATATATACGTTGTCATGTTACAAAACACAGAATATCAGGGCACATAGACACACCATGTTTTGTATGCTAAAGACAGTGTGCCAAATTCTGCTCCCAGTTGCCTTGTTTCAACTCCATTACTTTTACTTGAGGTCTACTGGGGAAAATTAAGAGCAGAATTTTGCTCAGCATAAAGAAAGCACATACATTTTTTCTTTTGTTTTAGCTATTTTTTGGGATTTAGGAGACACAAATTAGTTACCAAGAATCAGCACCTTGACTATATCAGTAAATTATATTCAAGGCATGGAACTATATTTTCAGTGGGATGGTTATTTTTGTATACACCGGCCTGAAATTAACCCAGTGAGGTGTGAAGAAGAAATCATCCATTTTTGTTTGTTTTATGCCTTCACACATCAAATATATTTGTGGCCACATATAAGTTAAAATTCTAACAAATTAAATTGTAACTCAAGACAGATGATTACAGCAAAATGCATATTTTGTAAACACATAAAATGACTGGAAAATAAAGTGAGCAGTTGATTCATGTGGTTTCTGACCAGGGATGATATTACAATGCAGTGTATTGGTTGAAACCCCGGTCACTTGCATGAGGACATCAAAGGTTAAAATTATTAATAGTTACAATCCATACATTGGTAGATTAAACCAACATGTTATAGAGAACTCCTCTCACCCCAGGACTCTGTAAAGAAGTTGCTTCCAATACTGCGTAACACAAGATCATGAATTTAACTGTTTTTTTTTTTTTAATTTTTTTAAATTATAAGAAAGCTCAGGTCTTAATCCTGTAAGCTGCTCCGTTGATTTCCATTGACTATATAGGCATAGAGGCTTGCCTTTATGGACCAACTTGCTGGATCAAGGCCTTAATCAGTAGGTGTATGCTGCTCTAGTTTTGGGGGAATTTTTAAAATGAAAGTATATTCTTCATGGTCATAGGTGAAATGCTACAGAAACCGGCCACCCCACTGGCTGGGATCCACACAGGGAGGGAGGAGAGAGCTCTAAGTTTCTTACAAAAACATTTTATTGTTAAAAAATATAACTATTTAAAGTTAATGTTTAACATCCTATTACTTTTTCTTCTAAATTATTTCATTTTAATGTTTGTTACATAGTTCCAATAATGATAAGGTCAGCAACGTTCATTGTAAACCTAAAGAGGCATTTTTCTTTTTTTAAAGAAAAACTACAAGAAACTGCAGGCTACAGTGTCCCACCACTGACATTTCCCCCCTCTGCGTTAGAATACCCACTATTCACCAATGATGCTGTTGTATCAGCACTGCTGTGTGTTATTACTTAACAAAATGGTTCAGAATGAATTTGAGTCTCAAGTAAATCAGGCAATACGCATGATTCCCACCTATGGACATGTGGTGTTGTCTGTTTTAATTTCTTTTAAAAATGCCTTAGTTTTCCTGTACCAAACATGCTTTGTTCATTCTTGTGAGAACAGAACGCCCTTTTTTTCTGCTGACTCCTTAATTCTGCAATGCACAGGCACACACTCCCCGGAAACACATTGGAAAGAATGAAGTGGTTTGCATCTAGGGAAGAAGCATAATGAATGCCGGAGCTCTAGAAAGAACTCTCTCCACCCTCTTCCCTTTTGTGTGTGTGCTTTTTCAGACTGGCTTCACTTGAATAATAGCAGGAATAGTACTATACACCGCTCATTAGGGAGCTAGGTCTTTGTGAATGTTAATGATTAATTGAAAGACACCCTGGCAATGGCTCTGCTTCTAGTTGGTCAAAGAATGCTGATAAGAGCAGTGGCAAACAATTTAGCCATAAGAAGATTATTAGAACAGCAGCAGCTATGTCTGCAGGAACAATGAAAAACATACAGTACAGAAAGAAGACAGACATATTCCCATATATTACACAGAAGTTAATACGTTGAGATCCATATGGAACATTATTCAGAACATACTTTGCTTCGAAAAAGAAAAAAACCCCAAGAATTTATACTGGATTTTGAATATTCTAGTGTGCTGAGTCACTGGAACACGTGTGACTGATACTTCTATATGGTTTGTTGCTTCACTGTTTAGCACAGCATGGTGGGGGAAGGATGCAGCTAAATCAAAGCTTACTCCTAAAACAATTACAGGCATTTTCTTTCAGTGACATAAAATGAATGGCAAACTAAGAAAGTGCTTGGCACCACAGCAAAATTATGGATGATTAAGTAAAGAATTTTACTCAAGGAAATGAGTAGAGTGTATTGTGTATTCAAAGCATAATGCAGCAAATGGCAATCAATGGCCCTGAGAATGAAACTGCATTTAAAAAACATTTCGAATTAAGTTTTATAGTGTATAAAAATCTTACACTTTTCATACACACACAGAGGAGTGCGTGTGTGTGTACATGCATTTTCACAAAACTGTACAGTACATCTCCTTTACAATAAACAATACTCACGTAGCTGTATTATATCAGGGCAGTGACTAGAATTCAAAGAAAATTTACTGCAGAAAAAAACTAGGACCTGAACCATAGGTCTCTAACCTACTAGTTCTGACTTTTTTTGGTTTTGTTTTATTCTATTTCATAATCTCTCACTTTCTCTCTCCCCTCTTCTCTCCTCCCCCATCTTTTTTTCTTAATTGAGCAAATGTGGTCCTGTTGAGAATGAGAAACTGATCCTGCCACATTGCTTCAGCTGGAGATAGGCATGAATTTACCAGGTAGATAGTGGGATGCCAGACAAGTATAATGGGAGTGAGTTAGAAAGTGTGTGCAGTGATTGGCAGAGAAAAGCACTAGATGGCAGTTCTAGCTGGAGACACCCATGAAATGGGAGCAGGGCTACAGAACACAGATCCATACGAGCACCTGGCAGAGTGGTTTGCTCTCAGCAGTTTAGATGCAGTGATGTACAGTGTCCATTTATGGCATTGCCATTTACGGTTGCACTGCTGGGGCTCATGGTTCAGATCTAGGGGTCCTGGATGCCCAGGCTATGGTAGGTGGCCAAACTTAGAGGTAAGAAGATGCGGGGATCTTTAGGATCCAAGAAGAAAGTAGCAGAGCTGACTGGCCATGGAGAGATCAAGTGAAACTGCAGTCCCCCACGTTGATCCTCCCTCTCATTACTAGACTGATGTCCCTGGTTATAGCCTGCAGCTCAGAGGAGGAACTGAAGGGGGAGTAGCTGACAAGATGGCATAAGTCAGCTACTCCCACATGCCCCCTAGGAAGTCTGTCCTATTAAATATATATCCATGGAGAAGGTGGGTGGGAGGGACAGTTCTATTTTGTGCTGAGTTACTCTTATCCAATGACCATCGTGGCTAAGCAATCCCTTTCCCGTCCTGAGATACTAGACTGTCCACAGGGGTATGGTGAGGAGAAAGTAACATGTACTAGACAATTCCACTATAGAGAAGATCATTAAAGCCCCAGTCTGAGAAAGCAACTGAATTTGTGATTTGTCCCACAAATCTACTCAGCCTTGAAAATAAGGGAGGCATGACAGGCTCCCCAAAGTCACGTTTTTGCTGCACTAAGAGGAGTCTCAGCGCAGCAGATAATTTCACCCTACTTTATATAAATTTAGGTGAAAAAAGACTGCAGACAAACTCTACTTCCTTTTAATTTATTTTATTTGGGCTGGATGCAGCTCTGCACAAGCCGGTAAATGTGGAAATACATTAGTGTAAAACTGGTGTAAGCAAGAGAAGAATCAATCAGGCACACTGAGTCTTAGGCCTATGCCATGTTTACTGAACCTCTGGATCAAAGAAAAGTCCTGAAGTGGCCTGGAGTCCTCTCTAGTAATTTTAAGGTTCTAGAGCAGGGTTAAATGTTGAAGGATCCTCCTAGATCCAAGAAAAGAAGTGGAGGAAAACAGATCACTGTAAGAAAAATAAAGGATAAAAACAGTGACAGGCCCAAAAATGTTTCCCATAAACTGGTTAAACTGCACAAGCACACACCATGCTTGAAAGTTTTCAGAAAGATCAATTGGGCCACGTAGCAGACACCAGCAGGATGTTGTCAACCCGAGGACCATAATTTAATCACTCTCTTCTACAGAGCTTGAAAAGATCTACTACAAACTAATGCTTTCTAATTAGTTTGTCATTCTGCTTTTGTGTTACAAACTCACGTGTCTGACACGTGTTTGCCATATTGTGGCAAAAATCCAGTTTTGTGTTTATTTGCATGCTAAAGTATCTCTTTTGATACTGTTTGCAGTGTTGTGGTAGCCATGTTGGTCCCAGGATATTAGAGAGACCAGGTGGGTGAGACAATATCTTTTACTGGACCATCTTCTGTTGGTGAGAAAGACAAGCTTTAAAGTTTCAGGACCTGAAGAAGAGCTCTCTGGATATCAAAAGCTTGTCTCTTTCACCCACAGAAGTTGAGCCAATAAAAGATATTACCTCACCCACCTGCTCTCTCTTCATGCTGTGTTTCCTGAACTGATAGTAAAGGATCTTATTAACACGGGCTGACATTTGACAGTGAGTTTGGTGAACAGGAAGGCAGGAAACGCTGAGGAAAGTAGTCCTTCTGACTTGTTTTCTTCTGGAATTTGATTGCTGAGCATTTTCTCCCCACATTCTGGAGGAAGAGGAACAGCTCTGCTTGCACTTCCTGTATATGTGACCCACGGATTGTATGGTTTTGAGGATTCATTGTTAACCTTGTGTTTGAACTGTAGTTCCATTTCCAGCTAAATATAAAAAAATAAAATGTTATAAAAAAATAAAATGTTCAGGCAAGTTAGGCTAAAATAGTGCTGCCTTGGTTGGATAAGGGCGCTATGATAGGATGTATGTAACTGTTCCTGGCTGAATGAAGAAGTGTTTTAAAACCCTTCACTGGGGAAAGGGCTAAAGCCCAGCCAATAGAGACTGCCTGAGCTGTCAGGCCTAGAGAAAGGAGCTGACAGTTATGGCTCCATTAGGCTACGGGAAAGTGGAGCTGCCAGATATGCCTCAAAAGCAGGGCTGGCAGCTATATGAAAGTGAGGTTTCCAGGGGCGCCATGAAAGAAAAAGGGTGGGGCTTCTGGGAAAGAAGAATGAAACTTCCTCCCAAGTGGAGCTGAGCTTGGTGACAGTACCAGGGCACTTTCCTTGATCTTCATTCACCACAACTAAAGGGATAAGTGGAGCTTCTGACAGGAGGATCTTTATTCCTTGATTATGGGTGTTAGTTAGGCCACCTGGATATTAAATGAACTTTCAGAGACTATCTGCTTCCCATGATGGAGACAACTTGAAGGGCTGTTTTGCTTTAGCTTGTTTTCCCTCCTGGATTAAAGAAGTGTTGACCTCAAACCCAAAGGGTGGAGCATTGGCTTATTACTGGAGGATATAAGGAAATTAAAGACAATTGAGAGGAACAAGTGAGGAAATTTAGAAGAGGATTTTTGGAAGGCAAGTTAATTTGGAATCAATAGAATGGTAGGATCAGGGAGAAGAAAGGAAAAAGTAAGAAGGGAGACTTGATAGATTTAATAGCCTGTTTGGAAATCTTGGGAATAACAGGGAGCAGGCGGCTGGGCAAGAGCTATCAGGTAAGGAGCTCTGGCATCTTTTCTTCTGTGACTAAAGGCTGCGTGATTGTCCTCAGTGAAGGCACTGGCTAGAACCAGGCACTATGAAGGCAGGCTTCCCTGCATCGCTGTGCCAGCCCACTTCAGTCTCGCCCTGCAGGACCCATGCAGTTCTAGTCCTAGCCCTCTCTTTCTACAGTTATAAATCTCTGACTACCTTGAACAAGCATTATCACTATGTTGAACCCTCTTAATTTTAAAGCAGAAAAAAGGCTAGAACTTGCATCTTCCTGCACAAATAACAAGGGCTTGAACTGAAAGAGAATCTCTGTTACCTCACAGCAGGATAAGGACTATGACACACAGATAAGTAGTTATGCTTTCATCCATTAGTGGGCTCTGGTACATTAACCTAAGCCAGTTTGGTTTGTTCTCTCTAATATGTACACACACAGTATATGGCATTTTCCTATGAAGCTGCATGTGATTGATCTTCTTCAACGAAGTAGAGTAACACCTGGATCTAAAGCCTCCAAAGGTCAAATACTGGTGCTCCAAGCGGCTGTACTACCAAGCCTCTGATTGTATGTACACAGCTACAATCATATTCTCTGCTCTGGCCCTCATAGCATAACATGTTGGGAATATGGAGGAGGGAGGGCTTACACTTATTTTCTCTTTGTTCCTCTTCCCTTCTATTCTTCCTTTTCTTTTCCCTTTCTCTTCTCCTCCCTTCCTCCTTTGCTCTCCCTTCTTTTCCCACACCCCATCTCACCTTTTTCGTGGGGGAGAGGGGGCGGAGGAAGGGGAAGGCTCTTATAACATTCATTGGTATCCTGGAGCTGCATCCATGCACTCAGGTATTTTCTTTTTCTGTAGGCCAGTTTACATTGCTTGCCATAGCCCCCAGTCACACTATGTGCTCTAATGTTGTTGGCTACACTGTATCGAGGCTGAGTCATGCATGAGGTGGCTATAAGCAAGAAATCTGAGATGTAGCCTAGATTTAGCAAAATCACCAGCAGTGTTGTGGATTATGGTGAAATAGTGGGGAGTTGTTGTTTTTTAACAGAAACTGAGCACATTTTTGAATGTAATGAGATTTTAGCATGGCAGCCCTGAATTGGAGCCCTCAGTAACTGATCCTTACTTTCCTATGTTCCCTCTTCCCCACACTGGTCATAGCGCTGCACATATGGAATTTAGTAATTCTTTAAAGTAACATGCAGAACTGAACACAACATACCGCTTGAAATAGACAGTGTGTGGTGCAAAAATGCTATTTACCACTGGTTGTTGATCATCACTCTAAATCTGTACAGAGGCTTCAGATTTCGAAACGAGATGTGCAATAAGTACAAGGCAGTCATCTGACGAAGGGATGACACAAGGGAGTGCCCTGAAAAATGAGCAAGCGAGAGAGAGCGAGATGCACACAGTGGCCAGAATTAGATACTATCCTAAATACAGGAAACTGCTTTTCACTAATGCTAAGGCTGTGACAAATAGATAAAATCCGCGAGACTCAAAGCTAAGGCTAACATTCTGGTTTTTTTTGGAGGTGTGCAGGGCTGGGAGGACTAGGAAGTGTTAAATGATGAGATATTGTTAAGATTAATATTTGCAAATTCATGCCAATTGTATAAATTGATGGACTAAGAAAAGTTACTTTTTTTTAAAGTTTAGCAGTTGTAGGTAAATGATTTGGTTCCGGAGATTCTGATCATGTTAAACAGAGGCCGAAGTTAACATGTAGGAGGCACTCTGATACAAAATATTTTTTCTAAACATTGTATGTCATCAAGGGAGTAAGAGTAGTAGGTTAAATAGCAAAAGCAGTTTTGTTAAAGCTGTTTACTATTCATACAGTCATTGGATTTTATTCTGCCTTAACTCACACTAGTTTTACATTCATAGAATCATAGAATATCAGGGTTGGAAGGGACCTCAGGAGGTCATCTAGTCCAACCCCCTGCTCAAAGCAGGACCAATCCCCAATTTTTGCCCCATATCCCTAAATGACCCCCTCAAGGATTGAACTCACAACCCTGGGTTTAGCAGGCCAAAGCTCAAACCACTGAGTTATCCCTCCCCGTATTAGTGCAGGGGTCTCAAACTCAAATGACCACGAGGGCCACATGGGGACTAGTACATTGGCCTGAGGGCCACATCACTGACCCCCCACCCCCACCTGCTGCCCCGGCCCCGCCCCCACTCCACCCCTTCCATGAGGCCCCGCCCCGCCCCACCTCTTCCCAGCCCCCATTCCAACCCCTTCCCTGCATGTTTGAGACCCCTGCATTAGTGTAAATATTGACTAGAGTACAACTACTCATGGTTTACACCAAATCAGTTCAGACAAAGCCCTTGTTTTCTAAAATGCTCAGAAATTTCCAGACATCCAAGTGTTGGTATCTCTAAATACACTCTGGAGGATCAGCAAGCAGTGAAAGTGCTTCTTTTCCTATTCTCTTACTTTGGTCACCCATTACAAGCTTTGCTGTAGAAGGAGCTGTTTCTCAGCAGACAGCTTTACTGTTATGATTGCAATTGTTATTCTTTACCCGATTGAATCTACATAAGATGGTTTCCTCTGAAAGAGGCATTGCCACTGCCAAAGCCTGCTGTGCCCTTTTCTGAGAAAGCAGGAAGTCCCTACTGCTTAAATATAGTCACACAACGTTAATATTCTCAGTACAGATTCAGAATATGCAGTTTCCTGTTTAATGCTGCATGCATTGATCTGTGTAAGATTGACATTTACTGCACCAATACTGTTAAATAATTGACTTCCTTGTCTGTATCACTATGGAAGCCAATGGTGTCATGGCAAAAATCTAGGACCTATTTTTTAATGTCCTAGATGTGACAATACGCTTGCATTTTAAACACCTAGCTATGAGCACAGTTTTCTCTTCCTGAATATGTCTTTGAAAATGTTTCAAGAGGTAGCTTTGCAGTTTGAAAGATAAAAAGTATTAAACAGAAAAAATATGCGAAAGAAGGTGAAACTTTAAAACTTTCTTATGGAAGTTTCTAAACCTCTGTCACAGAAAAATATCTCGTTTTGAGTTAGATTTCTGCTATCTGATCACCATTCTAAAATCTGAAGCCTTTGCACCATTCAGTTAGGAGAGTTGACACTTGAAAGGAGAGGGAAATACATCATAAATGGCTTTTTTCCAGTTTTACATCAACACCTGGGTTCTTGTGTCAGGAAGTCGAAGTCCCACCAGACCTCCGCACACTAGAACAGTTGAAGCTAGAAGAATGGGGATTGCTTTGGTGATGCCAACAAGTGAACCAAATATTAAGTTTCCAAGTACAGCTGCTGCTTTGCATAGTGCGTTCAAAAAGCCAAAGCCTGTTGCCCTAAAAGAAAAAAAGAATAACATTAAACATGCTTGAAAAATTAAAGCCTTTGGGACAGATCCTGAGTGGGGGTAAATCAGAGTAGCCCCATTAACTTCAGTGGAGCCATCCCAATTTACATCAGCTGAGAATCTGGCCTCTTGATTTTATAGTGTGCCAACAAAACAAGGGGACAATCATCTTTGTATGGGGAACAGAAAGTTTTAATTTCCTCCAGCTGGCACACCTGATCAAACAGTACTTGGTAGAAATGCTCATATGATCTCAGCCTCGTATAATAATGAACATTAAGACTTTGGACATGAACCAAATGGGGGCTTGAAAAATGGGTCTTGGGCTGGAGGTGAGATGTAAGGGTATGACTACACAGCAAAGAAAACCCCACAGCACCGAGTCTCAGAGCCTGGGTCAACTGACCCAGGCTTGCGGGTGCGGCTATAAAATTGCAGTGTAGCCACTCAGGCTCGGCCTGGAACCTCAGCTCTGAAAGCTTGCAAGCAGGGAGGGCCTCAAAGTCCAGGCTCCAGCCCCAGCCTGAACCTCTACACTGCTATTTTCAGCCCCGCAGCCCAAGTCCCCGGAGTCTGAGTCAATTGACCCAGGCTCTGAGATTTGGTGCCACAGGTTTTAATTTGAAGTGTAGACGTGCCCCAAGAGATTCTGCAGGACAGGGAAGGGAGGTGGTTTGCTAGCTGAGAATCTAACAAAAATGCATTTGAGTGGACATTACTTTATGGAAACATATTATATGATCCTATTAATATTCGGTATCAAAGTCCAAAAGTAACTAACTAGTCTGCTTAGCTGATGACAAGGTTAAAACTAGATATGTTCTGCAAACTGCTTTGATTTTAATAAACCTTGTTTAATCATGAATATATCTTATGGAGACTGTTACTTAGGTAATTTTGCACAGGATGTCCCAAAGAGAACAAAACCTCTAATAGAAACAAAAAAAGGCAAAGAGTATCAGCAGTGTTAGTTAATATGGGTTTGGACAGAGCTGTCCTGTGTCATCAGGGGCTTCAGTCAGAGGAACACAAGGGTGAAGCCTGATGGCCAAGAAGACGACACTGTAGTGGGATGTTGTACAAATGCTGAAGTCAACAATCTTCTTTTCCAAGAATTCTTATGGGACAAAAACCATAAATGTTGATATCTATTGTTTCCACATTAGCTCTGTGAATTATGCACTTTCTGAACTCATGACACACGATCAGTCTTGCTGTGTGATTATAACCATCATTGCTATATTAGACCCTTGGCATGTACTCTAGTGCCCACAGGTCACTTGCAGCCAACAGCTGTGTTTTATGATTCCCCTGCAACCTTTAAAATACTTGGACTTTAGCAAAATATTGTTCCATTTGATTAAAGTATTGATTATTCTTTTTTATGCAACACATAGTGCCCCTTTAACATACCACACTAGGGAAAAAAACTCAGTGATATGTCTACGGGGAAAAGAGACAGGTGGATGGGAAGCAGAAGCTATCAAGAGATACTGCTTGAGAGGGTAAGCAGGAGAGTCCTGGGTGGCCCACTTCGAGTGGCCACCAAATCTAGGAATTGTACCTTTTGTCCCTTAGGTGGCTATTACTCTGGTATGTAAGCATTGCCTGCAGCCAGAGAGTCTGCTGAGAATTATGCTTGAGAGGAGAAACTAAAATGCCTTGGAACCTTTGAGGCTGCAAGATTTGTGGCACAAGAGAGGGAATAGTGCAGACCTGTGAGACTCAGTTTTTAAGTGAGGAAACTGAGGAAGCCCTGTAAATATATTACCCAAGAAGCTATTGAAACCCGCTGACTGAGAGATGGACCAAAGAATCTACTGCAATGTTGCCTGAAAAGCTGCTAAAGCCACTGCCTACTGAGGAAGCCCTAGGAATGATGATCACATGATTACCTGGTCTGTTCATTCCCTCTGGGGCACCTGGCATTGGCCACTGTCGGAAGACAGGACACGGGGCTAGATGGACCTTTGGCCAATATGGCCATTCTTATATTCTTAAAAACTGTTGAAAAAAACAATTAAGGGGAGGACTATGGGAACCTTGGGAGGCTGGCAGCTCAACCGGTGCTAGTTCTGAGCTAAAATATAGCAGCACAGTCAGGGATAGCATGGGCAGCAGCTTGGGCTAGCCTCCTGAGTACAAACTCGCCTGGACCCCCGGATACATGCTTGGACAGCTAGCCTGAGCCACTGCCCGTACTACTGCCAGCCACACTGCTATATTTAGTGCACTGGCTTGAGCAGAGCTAGCGCATGTCTGTCTACCCATGATGGGAAGCCCATTCCCAGCTGCAATGTAGATGTACCCTTAGAGGGGCCCTAGAGAGCAGGATGTGATTTTCTCGATCTCTCCAGGAGAGTCTATGTTGTAAGGTGAGGCTCACAACGAGAGGAGTGCCATAGTGCAAAATAGGGCATCACAGAATATCAGGGTTGGAAGGGACCTCAGGAGGTCATCTAGTCCAACCCCCTGCTCAAAGCAGGACCAATCCCCAATTTTTGCCCTAGACGGCCCCTTCAGGGATTGAACTCACAACCCTAGGTTTAGCAGGCCAATGCTCAAACCACTGAACTATCCCTCTCCTGCATCAGTATAGTGGTATTTGAAGGAAGTTGACTGGTACAAGGAGGACCTTTTGGACGAGCCGTATCTCCAGTCTGACTGGTGCTGGCGGCAATCGTGGTGAAGGCAGAGAGCTTGATTGGTACTGGGAAGAGTATCATGGTAGAAGAAAAGGATTGATTAGTAAGAGAAGTGGGTATTGTTTCATTTTTGTCTTTATTTATGCACAGAATATAACCCTAAAGATATATAATTTATTTGTTATGATCAGTACTTATAGATAGATAGATATGGGCTGTCAAGTGATTTAAAAAATTAATTGTGATTAATTGCGCTGTTAAACAATAGAATACCATTTACTTTAAATATTTTTGGATGTTTACTACATTTTCAAATATATTCATTTCAATTACAACACAGAATACAAAGTGTACAGTGCTCACTTTATATTTATTTTTTATTACAAATATTTACACTGTAAAAAACAAAAAAATTGTATTTTCAATTCACCTCATACAAGTACTGTAGCGCAATCTCTTTATCATAAAAGATGAACTTACAAATGTAGCATTACGTACAAAAAAACTACACTAAGAATAAAACAATATAAAACTTCAGAGCCTACAAGTCCACTCAGTGCTACTTCTTGGTCAGCCAGTCACTCAGACAGACAAGGTTGGTTACAATTTGCAGGAGATAATACTGCCTGCTTCTTGTTTACAATGTCACATGAAAGTGAGAACAGGTGTTCACATGGCACTGTTGTAGCTGGCGTTGCAAGATATTTACGTGCCAGATGCACTAAAGATTCATATGTCTCTTCATTCTTCAATCACCATTCCAGAGGACGTGTCTATCCTGATAATGAATTCTGCTTGATAACGATCCAAAGCAGTGTGGACTGACGCATGTTCATTTTCATCATCTGAGTCAGATGCCACCAGCACAAGGTTGATTTTCTTTTTTTGTGGTTTGGGTTCTGTAGTTTCCGCATCAGTGTGTTGCTCTTTTAAGACTTCTAAAAGCATGCTCCACACCTCTTCCCTCTCAGGTTTTGGACAGCACTTCAGATTCTTAAACCCTGAGTCCAGTGCTGTAGCTATTTTTAGAAATCTCACATCGGTACCTTCTTTGCATTTTGTTAAATCTGCTGTAAAAGTGTTCTTAAAATGAATAACATGTGCTGGGTCATCATCTGAGACTGCTATAACATGAAATATATGCAGAATGTGGGTAAAACAGAGCAGGAGACATACTGTACTCCTTGCAGGGAAGAATGTAACAAATTTAATTGATGCATTATTTTTTTTAATGAGCATCATCAGCATGGAAGCCTGTCCTCTGGAATGGTGGCCAAAACATGGAAGGGGCATACGAATGTTTAGGATATCTGGCATGTAAATATCTTGCAACGCCGGCTACAAAAGTGCCATGCGAATGCCTGTTCTCACTTTCAGGTGACATTGTAAATAAGAAGCAGGCAGCAGTATCTCCTGTAAATGTAAACAAAATTGTTTGTCTTAGCAATTGGCAGAATAAGAAGTAGGACTGAGTGGACTTGTAGGCTCTAAAGTTTTCCACTGTTTTGCTTTTGAGTGCAGTTATGTAACCAAAAAAAATCTGCATTTGTAAGTTACACTTTCATGATAAAGAGATTGCACTTCAGTACTTGTATGAGGTGAATTAAAAAAATGCTATTTCTTTTGTTTATCATAGTGCATATATTTGTAATAAAAAATAATAATATAAAGTGAGCACTGCGCACTTTGTATTCTGTGTTGTGATTGAAAACAATATTGAAAATGTGGAAAAACATCCAAAAATATTTAATAAATTTAAATTGGTATTCCATAGCTATAAGCACAATTAATGCAATTAATATTTTGAGTTAATCACATGAGTTAACTGCAATTAGTTGACAACCCTAATTTTATATATATATTTATATGCATACCTACACACACATATGCACTTGTTGTAGCTTCCACTAGTGTCCGAAAGCCAAAAATTTGCCCAAAAGATTATGAACACTGAGAAAAACAATATTTATGAAGCAATAACATAATCCTTTTCTGTCAACAGGTCTCAGCCTAAATGCAGTAAAAGCTAACTGAATAAGAGTTAACAGAACCAACAAAAGAATATAGATCTAGCTAATGCAAATTTAGACACATGTCTAGACATTAAATCTTTGGAAGGGCAATGCTAAGGAACATATGGGGATACTTTTTATATTACTCTGTAGAGGTAAATTGCTTCACAGATTATATCTGCTTACATCATCTAGTTATAACAAGGGCCTGCATATAATTTCCTGAACATTTGGAACATTTATTTTCATATCCTGTGCTCTACAACGAGCACATTCCAAACCTGCAGTATATTCCGGGACTGTTATCAGGTGGATGTCTCTGTATTTTAACT